CTCAAAAAAAAAAAAAAAAAATTAATGATAATAATAATAATAATAATAATAATAATAATAATAATAATAATAATTAATAAATAATTTAAGTTAAATATTATGATTATCATTAGTAAGCGCATATCCATTAAAATCCCCTTCTCCTGCCTATATGCATCTGCGATACAAATAAAGATATATTTATAGTTGTGACATTTTCTGAACTCGTGAAGTCGTTGATGAACTTAAGTGTATTTTATGAACTGAGTTGTCTTTATACTGAACTATATTGTCTTTATTGAACTATAAAAATTAGACAAACAAACCACGAAACAATTTCGCTCGCTGAATCCATTTAAAGTTCCCGGGATAAATTTCTCGTGACGTCACGATGGCCAAGATCATCCGCCGCGCGATCCCTATAGGAGCGATTGACGAGTTCATCACCCCCCCCGATCACAACATTGATGTACAATTTGTGTGCAATATTAGTCTTCCTGTGCTACCAAACTAGCTAGAAAGTGTGAGATTGAACATTGGTTTTCCTGTGGTGCGGACGGACGGGCGGGCTGCGGGCGGTGCACGGTCACGTGATTACCAAATTTTCTCGGATGGGTAGATTTACTTACCCATGGTGCTCCGCAGGCGCGCTTCGCGCGCCAGAGCTCCGCTATTATACGAATTACACTGGCTGTCTGTGACGTTTAGAATAGAATTTAAGGTTATTATAATCACTCACAAAGCAATCTATGGAACAGCTCCTAATTATTTATCATCTCTCGTTAATTTTCAACCTAATTCTTCCTACAGCCTCAGATCAAATAACAAATATCTGCTTTCAAATCCTAACTTTAGGACTCTCCCTACTCTTGGTGACCGAGCCTTTGTAGTCGCCGCACCAAAACTATGGAATAATCTTCCGTTAGATCTTAGATGCACCTCCGATTTTCAAGTTTTTAAACGTAATTTGAAGACTCACCTTTTTAAAAAAGCCTTTTCTGATAATATGTTGTAATTTAATGTTGTAATTTTTTTTACGGTATATTTTTAGATCTTTACAGTCAAACCAAGTCAAGCGTACCCCCCAAGATTCTATTAATGAATTGATTATTTGAAAAATGAATCCGTTAGTCGTTCCCGTACCTGGTGTCAAATTCAAAGCGGCATTTCTGCATGCGTAATGAGCAGTGAATATTTTACGAGAACTTCTCTGTATTTGGTCAGATTGGAAATCTTTGAATGGATTAAGCTTCTTAGAAGACATTTACATCAATTTCAGGAAAATGGAGCTGGTAGAAATTTTATAACTGCCTCGCGTGTGAATTCACGGCTCATTACACATGCAAGAATGCAGAGATCAATCTGAAATCTACATCTAGCAACGGATTCAACTTTTGAATAATAAATTCATTAATGTATTCTTGGGGGGTACACTTGACCTGGTTTGACTGTAATTGTAAGGCGCATTTGAAAACCGTATAGTTGAATTTGCGCGGTATAAATAAATGTTATTATTTATTTAATTATGTTTTTAATGCTGTAGTCAATTTACTTAGAGGTAACTAATTTAAATTCATTTCAACATTGCATTTTTTAAGAATCTTACTGTATATTTTTAGAGTTTTCTATTGTAGTTGTAATGTTATTCTTACTTTTTAATATATTTTTATTCATTTGTAATTATTTTTACACGATCCCACAAGCTTTGAGCTTTAACCTCCCATAACGTGTTTAAATAATTAAGGATATGCATGTAAAGAAATCTAAAAACTATAAACAAGCAATTACTAAAAACTCTGGCCTCGTTTATTATTACTCTAGCAAATTTACTCGAATGGCTTTCCTCTTTCATACATCAGAAATACACGGAAATAACATATTTAACAATTATTCCTCGAGCCCGAATGGACTCTGAGTCAATAGCCCATGAGGCCGAAGGCCGAATGGGCTATTGACTTAGAGGCCATGAGGGCGAGGGGAATAGTTGTTTTAGTAAAATCCAACTAGTTGGTCAAAAATATTGAGACAAAACAACTTTAGCTAGTTAAAGCCAGACTTTAATCCTTTTTTGCCGCCAAAAAGCCGGCGCTTTCCGCTACTAGTGGGCTGTAACATATAGCCTAGTAGTAGCTCAACAAATCAGAACGCAGCATTGAGAATAGACCACTAGCTGTATTTTACTAAACAATATATTTTACTTTTGAAAAGGCTTCAGGCCTCCCTAATTTCCAGGGGTCATTTTCATTTTCTTCACTTTATGTATTTTCAAACTGTATTCTCCGTATTGTCTTGAAGCTCTGACGCGAGCACTTACTTTCAAATTGAAACTTCTAGTTCATTGTAACCTTATTCAAACTAGAGAGAGCTTTTGAGGCTCCCCTCGCTAAAGAGTTGAATAACTTCAAAACCATTTAAGCTACGACCACCAAGCGACTTTTGCTAAAAATTATCTGGGACATTTTCAAGTCATCTTGACGTGTACGTTAACATTGACGTTACCATAGCAACTGAGTTTTGACAGCCATGTTTTTCCTTATTAGCTATTTTCCTAGGATATATTCAATTTCTATTCTCTCTGAGGCGCTCCCCTCCCCGGTCGCAAGAAGCAACAAAAAGCCCGGTCTGAATAAGGTTAAGGAAAATTCAAATGAAATCAAAGTTTAATGAGTAGTCTTAAATCTGATTTACACGACTAAGATTTTAGCTCTAATTTTTATGGGAAAAAATGCTATAGAAAACCTGCTATCATTGGAACAAATCGCCACAACTCGGGTAAACAGGAATTTGAGAGTGAGTTAATTAAGAAAATATAAAATTTTATCGAGATCGGGAAGTTATAAAACAAGGGCAAATACTGGACGCTTCCACATCAACTTCAAGTTTTTTTTTATAGCTTCTAGAGCCATTTATATCACTAAGCTCAGGTTTTTAGCGAGCGACTCGCTACTTATAACATTCACCGACGGCACCAGAAACTTTTGCGTTGTTTTGATTCATTTCTTATACAAAGAAAGATCCAGTCGAGAATAAATAGCAGAATAAACAACAGTTTTACAAGTTTTAACAACACAACCAAAGAAAGAAGAAGTTTAGCAGGGGCACCCAACGACAATTTTTGGAAAATATCTGTTCGGAAGACGATTTGAGATCTAGAGTTTTCGGAACATTTGTTGCAAAATTTCTTGCTTGCCTGTCTCTCCTAGGATTTTGGAACATCTGAAAAATGGTATAATTGCCCATTTTTAACGGATTTTTACCCTTGAAAGGTCACCTAGAATTATCGGGAGCCTTTTTTCTGACTGAAATTTTCGAGTTTTGATCCCTATAATTTTCGGATCACTAGACTTTCAGCTAGGAAATCCGAACAGATGAAAAATTTTTAGGGGATATAAATATGCCCATATCTACCGTTTAAATACTAAAATACGTTCAACAATGCTATGTTTAAGAGGTTTTGAACTATGTTCTCGTTGGGTGCCCCTGGTTTAGAAGAAGTTTAAGACGTTTTGATATCACGAACAAAAAGAACTGGAAGCAACTGAACAATACCGCATAAGAAATACTCCAAAAGAGCTACAGGATACTTTATATCTTATCAGTTACTGATTTTTTTTTATATCAACATTTAATTCATAATGCATGACAATTGAATAAATAGAAGAGATATCTTATTTTAATAATTGAAACCATCCGCGACATCCGATTGAAGAAGTCTACTGAAGAATTGTGAACAACGCGTAGAAAACTACAAATTCAAACACGAAAAACAACTAAGAACACCATGTGCAAACAGTTACAAAAATTAACTTCCTTAATTGACGTGACAAAATAACAAAATAATGCAATGGTTTTTAGTCACATACAAGAATGTTGGACCACAGATTCTGGCCTCAGGATATCTATAGCGCAAACAAGTCTTTTTATTCAAAGGTAAATTAGGATGATTGTATTATATGATTGCTGTGAAAAAAGTGTTTTCACTGAAAGTGCCTCGCAAACTCTGATTTGCGTAAGCTTGCATAGTTCATGCATTCAACAAAATTGTGTGTTAGAAATAAAAACTTGATAAAGAAAGACCAGATCCCACTGTCGGGTAATTGTGAGGCGTCTTACTATTCACTGCGTTAGGAAATCATGATGAGTCTATGTGTCAAGAGGTCGCTTTTAATTTGGGAGGTTTTAAACAATAAAAAATGCTCACGAAACTTGCCGACAGCCCCTGAAGAGGTCAGTTGTAGTCTGGTACTGGCCGGGAAAAATTTAACTGGCATTTTGGATACTATAATTAGGTGGCCGCTCACGAAACTTCGACTATATGCTCATTCCTAATTAAAGAATTCGTCATCTAAACAGATGGGTTGATTCATTTTTCAAAGTGGCGAGGTTTCCTTAGACCCTGAAACGTAGAGTCATTAAAGACACCATTTTGAGCTGACATTGTCATGGAGACTACAGTACTGTATTCTACTTTGTGCAAGCCTGGAAAAGCCACTAACACACAGTAACACTACTCTACATGATCGCTAACTCATTCAGTGCCATTACCCCATACTATCCTATGCTTCTCTAACTAACAATAACTATAACTGTTTTCGGTGCGCCAAGTGCAATCATGTTCCGACAGACTGTTTCCCGCTGCTATTACATCTGGCTGAAATGGCATCGGTTAATAGTTCCATGTATTCCTTGACAATTTTATTACTGCGTAAAGCTAAGAACCAGGGTCTACGTATTAAACAGAATGAGTCAAATGATACACTGTACTTCTGAGCGTACCTTGTCTTTTTTAGCAACTTTTTCATTTTAATTGCAACGCTGGTTTCTTTCGCATCCGAAACGACTGGGTTAGAAGTAAAAAAAAAAGAAAGAAAACAATGACTAATTAACGCTGTCCAATAAATGACCACTTTATTTCAAACACCTCACAATGGAATCTTTAGTCCCTCACATCTATTTATGTTTCTAAGCTAAGGAGACGATTTGTTTACGAGTACAGCATAGACTCACAGCGTGACCTGGGCTTAACAACTATCTGAATCGATTCTGTAAGCGCCAAAGAAGGTGTGATAGCTTGTCAGCCAGATACGACTTTCGGACACGGTCTTCAAGCCGATGCGATCACCCACATTTAGCTTCACAACTTGTCCGGTGTATTCGGTACCATAATCGGCTCGGTTGTCGATGCCTGTCTGCATCACGCCTACGCGAACGTCATTGACGTAAAGTTCCACGGAGTTGCGATAGATTCCTGAAGGAGCGTCTTGATAATTTTCAAAAAACACTTGGCTGTAGACATAGTAATATCCCTCCTGCTGGGCTACCATTTCACCACCCACTTGGTTGAACATGTAGGTTATTGGATCCTTCACAAAATCAGTGAGTTCTAGGAGAAAAAAACACGAACAAATCAATTTGCCATCCGACTGTGACACTGCGATTCCCTTGGGGGGTGGGGGGGGGCGGTTCTCCCTTACAAGAGGCTATTACGGATGTGCCGCTGGATGGGGTCGCATTTTCTCGACTGGAGTGACTAGAATGGGGTCGCATTTTCAACAGATTTACTAGAATGGGGTCGCAAATTTACGGATTTTTGGGGTAAGCAGGCATTCAAAATGGGACGATTCTCGGTTAAAAAATCAGACAGTTGTTGTTTATTAAATTTAACAATAAGCTCGCATTGACCGCATTATATTCCGCCGCTTGAAACCACATTGATAAGGTCAGGATGCATAAATAGAAAGTGCCTAAGTTGGGATCGCGAAAATTACATTTTCCAAAAAGTGACTAAGATGGGGTCTATAATTGGCCAAAAAATAGACTATAATGGGGTAGGGGGCTCTGAGAGGCCAGCGGCACATACCCAGCAAACATTAACCTAAGTACCCTCCCCGGGCTGCGATTCCACTTAAAGATCAGTTAGTTAGGAGTTGTCTTTTAGTTAGCATTAATTAATCGCGGACATTCATAATAAGTTAAGTTATCCCATGAAACATCGCATGATATTTGGCAAGTATCGACTGCGGATATCCAGGGTGATTGAATAAGTATATCAAATGATATTAATGATATTAGTGGTGCAGAAAAAACAAGAGAAAAATGCAAGTTAAACTGTTTTTGGTGAAACGTCTAAGAGCTGGACTCTTCGAATTTCAATAACTGATATCGTTTTTAAGTGAAAAATTAGTAATAAGAGAAACCAATGACCTCTCTACGATCTGCAACTGAAAACTAAAGAATATTTATCGTTGTTAACTGTTACTTGTGTTGTGAGGGAATTTCTTGGACTCCGATAAAGTTCCTTTCAACGTTCCGAAGGCATTCTACATGAAGACAAAATAACAAAAAAATATCGATAATTAAAACGATGATAACTAAAGCAAGAAAAAATATCAGATCATAATAGTAAAGCAACGAAGTTGCACTTTGGAAAGCTTGTCTGGAGAAAAAACGGCGTTGACCCCAGGCCAACACTGATGCGGTCATATCTGTGAGTAGATTGGAGCTCCACTCTGACTAGCCATGTTCACAGACCCTCTCAATTTTTTCCTCAGAGACCGTCAATCTGAAGAGACCGTCGAACGCGCAATACAACAAATCAGCTAGTATGTAATAGTTAGCAATTTATCCTTCAACCACCCGCGAGCGATTTTAACGGTGTAGGTTGAATTTGTAAGATAACTTTCCGGCCTTTTTTGTCCCCAGTTAATTCTTATTTCTTAGAGTTTAATTAATTTAATGATATGCAACATTCCTTATTTAACCAAGCTTTAAAAATGAGACACGGTCAAGCAAGAAAGGCGCAAGAGACGAAGGAAGAGAACGAGGGTTCTCGGGTAAATAACGCCTGCTTTACAGGCTAATAATCTCATACAAATTACATGTAACAATTGAAGTCACTTTATTTTGTACATGTTTTTCAGTTAAGCAACAGCTCAGAGTGGAGTGGCTTTAATGACGGCTAAAGTAACGTTGCACTTTACCAAATTTCCGCCTGTAGTAGAAAACTTTCACTTCCTATTTTCCATTACCAATCCCCCATTATAGCAACTACCTTCAAAACGATAACAAAATTACTGGAGATTATATAATTATCTACCTGAGCTTTCGCCACTCCAGCCAGGAGTAAGCAGAGGAATACAGCTTGTCGCAACATGATTGCACTCGCCACACCCAAAACTACGAACCTGCATCAACGAGGAAAGGAAATGTTGGTTTTGTCAGTCAAACCATTAACAGAATTTATTATTCTTAAACTCCTTCTTCAAAGTCATCATTAAAAATCACTACTCTTTTACTATATACGTACTTGAATAGTCCGAATGCTATTGTCTTCGCGACGAGAGGATAATCAGTTATGAGAAAAGCTTAGTTAGTTATATGACAGAGTTACCTACGAGGCCGATTAAAACTTAAAATAACCAATCAAGGCACTTTACGTTGTAACATGTGGCACTGTTTTGAATCGTGATTTTTTCTAGCTTAACAATTTGGCTTATCATATGAGTATGAACAAGCAGTATGAACAGCTGAGTAATATTTGTTAAACTGTGTAAACGAATTCAAAGAAATGTTACGAAATTACTCTAGGTCTAAGGTCGTTGTGGGAGTAAGCTAAGGTCTTTGATAAGCTGAGTCGCAGTTAACACTTATGAGCAAATATGTTGAACCACAAAACAGATTATGTTAAAGTGCTTTTATTTAAAGAAGCTTCCGGAGGTTTTAATTCTTTTCGATACACAACCTTTTTTGCTCCTAGAGTCAAATATTGAGACACCTGTTATACGAGTCTGAGGATCAATTATTTGTGAAACTATTCAAATGAACCAGTGTTCTAATTCTGATCAACGAAGAGTTGTTTTCGTAGAGAGATGTCCATCTTATAGAATCAAAGAAAATTACTGAAGACCGTCAGGGACCAGCAATAGTTAGACCTCTTTAGCTTGTATGGTTTGTTCTCCCAGTAGAGGTTGCAGGAGAACTTGGCCGTTTGTGTTTTCATAAATTATGCAGCATAGATATGCACGTGAATGAGATGAAATTTGAAAGAAACAGTTCTCCAGAGTATTATGACATGACCTGTATTGGGAAAACAAAACATACAATCTAAAGAGGTCAGTTTATAAACTCTAGGTGTCCGATAATTGAGGGCTGACTGTTTTATAATTACCTTTCCTTTAATGGCAGTTCATAAATCCACTGGTAACTGGTAACGTACTTCCGACGACAATTAAGGGGATATTCTGCAAGAATTTTTGTTGGCGAAGTGTATATACACATAGACTAGTGCAGCGCTAGCACAGGTTGTCGAAACGTCAGTTACTGTCAAAAACAACAGTCCTATTCAGGACTACGTTCACCCGGACGACCAAACTCAACCTACTTTTGAAATGACTCCTGGGTTCAAACCTTTCACGGAAGGATCTTAGTATTTCCTTTATATTAACTGCCCTACAACACCATTTCTCGGTGCAAGTAGTTTTTATAAGAGTTTTCCTTTGTGTCAGCGTCGATAAAATCTGGAATAAAGCCGCGGACGTAGAGGATCAAGGGCTCTTATGTATTTTAATACATAATAGTTATTTTAATAGTTTAAAAACTATTTTTTTAATTTTTGTTTATTGGTAATGGGGTTTGAACACTGGGCAGTGGGATTTCGGAAAAAATGGCTGAGAAATGAGATTGTTGCCTTCCATTCAGAACCCCATTAATGTTTTTCGTTTGCAACCCCTTTTTCTGGCGTTTATCTCGGCTGTACGTACTATTGACATCATTTTATCGCCTATCGCAAACGTTGTTCACATTTGTCCAACGCTAGTTGGTTGTTATATTATGAAGAGTTAGCCAAGGGATTTGAGCCATTCAAAAACGGACCGATGTTTTAAATGCCAGTAGTAACGGTGCCGTAGAATAGGGAGGGGCCGGGGGGCCTGGGCCCCCCCAATAAATTTGACAGGCACGTTTAATTTGGTCAGCGGCCACGCTACTCTGCGCGCGGTTGATTGTATTCATTTAGGTTCGATAAAGCGCGAAAATTATTTATTTATGGCTTGAACACAGAAAAATCAGTTAAAAATTGCTGGAAATTAATGCTCTCGGAGGGCTGAAAATGCTATTCCAAAGACCCTATATTTCAAAATCTTCCGGTGGAGCATGCCCCCGGATCCCCCAACAGCTCGCCTCCTGCTTCAGCACTCGCGACTGCCCCCCTCACCCCACCCCCAAATAAATGTAGCCTTTCTACGGCACTGAATAACACCTAGCAACTAGAAAGAGCAAGCTTTCTTGGGACTGGAAATCCAAAAGTTGTATTCGAACTCATAGTCAGCTATATAAAGGTCGCTTAATATTTCGCTACTAGTACGAAATTTATCTGGGAATATTTTAACGTGACGTATTGACGTTTCCATGGCAAACGAGTTATTAATAGATAAGTCTCAGCTGATTTTAAACCCACTCCACGAGCACGTTAGCATATTTAGCCCAATACACCTTTATTATTCTGTTGTTACGATCATGTGCAGTTCATGCAGTCCCCCTTAAATCTAACATATTTCAGTAATTCTGTGATGTGCCATTGTCCGTTTGATGAAGAACACCTCGCTCGCGGGACTTCAGCCAAATGGCCATGGTCCTATCGGTCCTATAGGTCCTATCGGTCCTATCGGTTAAAATATAAACACGTTAATAAATACAGGGGCGTAGCTACGGGGCGGGGGGGGGTCTTGGGGTGCCCGTGACCTCCGTTGGTAGGCCTTCTTTTGAGCAAACAACCTACAATATTTCAGGTGGCGAAAACGCCATGACAATATCTTGGCCGTAAAAGCCATTGTTGAAAAGCCCACGTTTTTAAAATTTGTTTTTTTTGTAAAGTATTTTCGTTAACGGCCCTTGTCTTTAGTTAATATGGGCCTTCATGCCGCGATGATACGACTACAAAACAAAAAGACTACACAACTGTAACATTAAGTAAAACATGCAAGGCATGGAGGTCTACATGACAATCTGGTGAGTAGCCTCTGTGACCCCCCCCCCCTCCCCCCCTTTGAAAAATCCTGGCTACGCCCCTGAAATATTTAGTTTAGCTTATCTTGTACAGGTGCAAGAGGTCTCAATGGAGTGTTGATTTATATGGTTAGTATAAAAGAAAAGGAGATACCCCAGGGGATGCCCCAGGGGATACCCCATGGGAGCGGCTACTCCGGATTTTAAGTGACGGGGATGATCGAATAGTGGCAAAATTCAAAACCCAAATAAATCCCTGGACCAAAAAAAATCCCATGCCGAATAATTTTATTGTTTAATTGTATATTAACTGGTCAGTATGAAACAGATGCAATGTAATGTGTTA